CCCGTCCCCCCCTCCCCAGCCCCAACCCCAATCTCTCCCTCCCCTAACCCCAGTGGACTTACCAGCTGGAGGCAGCTGTGTCAGCTGCTTGTTTAGTCTATGACCAAATCTCCGAAATGGCTGAATCTTTTCTGAAGCTTTTCTGAATCAATTTGGATTCTTCAAATCAATTTGGAGCTTTTAATTGGTCTCCTGATTCAATTCAGATTTGGAGCTTTGGTCCAAATCTCCTCCGAATTGAATCAGCTGCTGAAGATTTGCAGAGCCCTAATAAGCACCACATAGACTTTATAATTAAGCAGGTGTGAAAATATTTGTAGGACTGGAGACTAAGTGTTCACTTTACAAGATAATTATACTTAAACAAAAAACATGTTCTTGAAAGGCTTTATTTATCAGAGAGAAAATAGAAAGAATTGTATTGCATGACGGTTTGGATTATAAATTAGCGACTATATATACAACTTTCACCAAATAAAATTATAGGCAGTGGACCAGATTCTTAGCTTGTGTTAATCTGCATCGCTGCTTTGAAATTAATAGAGCTACATTACTGTATACTGATTACCTGACTCTGTGGCTATATCTGTACAGCTTCTAGAGCAAGATGAGGAGTGCTGACAAGAAATAGCAGGCACGTCCAATTCAGATTAGGCAATATTTGCCTGAATGGCCTTGAGTGTGCTTTCTAGGCTTTCCAGACCCAAATGACTAAGGGGTTCTGCTTATGTGCATTGAGTGGGTGCAAGTGGACAGGGCTTATCGGGCTTATCTTTCAGTAGTATTCATGGACTTGATCTGGCCATCATGCCTTTCTCCTCCACCTATCCTACAATTAATCTGCTCAAAAGTTAATACTGTGATGGCAGGACATTTTTTATATATATACAAGTGAGTAGAACTCACCAATCATTTATACTTAACAGTATTTTCACTGCTTTCAGATTGAATACCCAGAAATATCTCCAAGGCAAATATTCTTTTATATACTTGTATACAATAAATGTGCAGATAACTCCATAACATGAACTGTATGATGAAATGAACATGAAGATGATTTAGAATGAAAATAAAACAAAAGGGAATATATATTCCACCTTCATTATTTATGTCATTTCCATCAGTAGCACTTCTAATGATTTGAGTCTATGGGTATGGGCACACAGCATCTATACTCCAGAGTTATTTCTCCAGATTTTATTTCATAGTAAATTAGTTATATACTATGGAAGGAATGGACACACAATCAGCTCTTCCAAGCTGGCTGCTAGGCGTAGATATTCTTACAGAACCTGGCCACTTGATAATAGAGAGTAGCCAGATTGCATCGAACACATTGCTACCCAGGAGTGAGACTGACAATCCTCTATTGAGAAAACTCTATCATATCCACTCTGGAGCATTCATGAAGGGCTTGAAATGTGAAATGTATATTTGATATTATTCATGATTCAAAATTCCTATATCAATTCAAAATAAGCCAACATTGAGCAATCAAGTAAAGTAAATGATACAAATAACTATAGCTATCAGCAGTCAAGAAACAGTTTTTGTGAATCAGAAGCTTTATTACTTAAGTTAGGAAAATCAATCTGGAAAGAAATAGTATCTTAAAGATGGTTTCTAAGGATGCTTAAACTGAAGAGGTATTTTCTGTCTCTGTAG